TTGTTCCTAGTAGCTTCTTGTTACTACTAGTAAGGCACTTGTTCCTAGTAGCGTGGCACTTGTTACTAGTAGCTTCTTGTTCCTACTAGCGTAGTCTGCTTGAGTGGGTTTCTAGCCCATTTCTTTTCTCCACCACTCACTTCATGCCTTGGCGATACTTCCTCCGAGTCTCCACCCCAACTCTGCCTCATCAAAAATGATGTGCGTGATGCCCACCAGGTCTGGATCCAGCAGCAGCCTACGCCGAAAGACCTGGAGAAACGCGCCGAAAGACCAGAGAGACGCTCGTCTCGGACGGCACTCCCCCGGAGCCTCCCAAGGGACGGTCAGCAGTGAGAAGGGTCAACACCCTGGGTTTGCTTGAATATTGGGTCAACTCCTTGGGTCAACTCCAATGGGCAGATCCCGGCCGATTGGAAGTGAAAATCTTCCGCGGGGGAGATGAATTGTTGTTGAATGCTTGGATGTCTCGGGAGTGATTGATGCGGAAGGGCACGGCGGGGGTGGTTGTAATGAGTTTGGTTGCTCATGATCAAACACCCGACCAAAGAGATGTTGGATCCCGGATCCCCTGGTAGCTGTACCTGAACGTTTGCGGAATGGAGCAGTTGCTTGGAACTCAAACAGTTCGTTGGAACATGTACCACTGAACCTTTCAGAAGCGGAGCATGTGGGCACAGGATCAAGCTTTCTCCGGGTACCTTTGTTCTTCTCCAACCTCCAACAGGGCACCAGCTCAGCAAAGGGTGGACGATCCATGAGAATCCTGAAGGGTTTGTTACTGGACTGGTCTGCGGTTCCAACAGCTAAGGCGCATCTCGTGTGTGTTCCAACAGCAGGCGCATTTGAGAGTTGCCTGCCCCCGCTGTGTCTCAGCCCTTCTCTTCAGAAGTCGTGTGCTGCTAACCGTACTAACCCCAGCATAGAATGTCTGGAATCCTGATGGCACAGAGAATGACGATGACGGCCAAGTACACTCTCGGTTGCAAAACCAGAGAACATGAATGTCACTGGAGATACACACGTGAGATAGGATCCAGTCGAGAATCACACATCCAAACCGCAAACCCCTCTGTTCCGTGGGTTGCTTTGTCAGGGATCGCAGTGAGAATATGTCTTGATGAGTCTTATGTTCTCTCCTCCCTCATTCCACATTCAGCAAAACAACCAAATGGCCAAAAAGGGCCCGTTGCTGGGCTCCGGGCCCCTAAGGTGCAGAAGACCAAGCGCGCTTTCTCGGAATACGAGGCCGAAGGCACCTGGGACGTACCGGATGCGCCATCCAAAAGCCACCCTCCACACCAAAGTCGACCAGCACCACACAGGTCGGGTTGGCCCCACGGTGAGGGGCCCCGGCTCCAGGTTGACCATCCAGTTAACAGTCTTCCGAAATGCTGTGGTGCTGGTAGAAAAGGCATCGCTAGACTGGGATGTTCTGTCTTCCAGGAGTCTTCCACAGCTCTTTTCTGATGTTTCTATCTCTTGAGAGGAGTCTGTTTGTTCTGAGGGAGCATTATGTTACGTTGAAAAGCACCCAACTCGACCTTCCACGCTCAACGTTCCACATCTGTATACTACGTAATTACCCCCATACCAACTCGAACGGCTCACTGTTTGGCACCGCGAGCCGTCCCACCTCCCAGGACCCGACCCCAACGGCGGAGTCTCGAGGCAAGAACCCCCGGCAGGACACAACGAAGGCCGAGCGTGTTGGGATTCCACCCGAAGCCGAAGCCCAAAACCGACCGCCTCCGAAGGTTCGCCTCCGGTCCGGTCTCCGTCCCGCTGTGCCTGGTAACCCACATCAACACCCAGCTTTTGGCACCGCTCCGCAGCAATGCGTTCCTCCGCAGTGGGGCTGGGCAAGAAGTAGGGGTGCTCATACAACTGGATGTCTACCAACGCAAGAGTAAAGGCAAGACAACAACAGATTGTCTACTGTTTTGCCCCCAGCTTGTTTGTGCAGAGACAATAAGTACAAAAGGCCAAGGCTGGTTATAGAGCCGCACAAGACCACGTAAAGCGAGCAATGTCAGCATGCTGCCCTCTTGCGGAGTCCCTCAGATGGGTTTCCACTTCCGGTTCCACCCCACACAGACTGTGTCTGGTTCATGTTGCCAAAAAAGAAGAACGTCTTGCATAAGCACGTCTGACTTGCAAAAAAAAGACCAACAAACGCCCATCCTCACTGTCCAACAGCAGAAAAAGCCGCCGAACAATGACCGTCTGAGGGCCGGGTCTGAGGCGGAACCCGCAGACCGCAGACGTTCGCGTGAACACTAGGCTCCGCACGGCCAAGGTGGTGGCTGCAATCCTCCTGGGCTGCATCACCAAGACGTAGGCCTGGTTTTCGGAGGTCCGAGCGACGCGTGTAGGTTTAGGTGGTGAAGAGGTCGGGGAGAATTTCTGGCTGAAGAGGTGCGGTAGGGTCAAAGAGGAGTCAAAACATGGGCGTGGAAGGATCCTGAACGTCTCAAAACATATATGACATGATGAACCTCATGACATGATTCGGATGAATTGCTGCATGAAACCCACGACTTCTGTTCGCCCCCAAAAAATAAGACACCCAGGCCTTGCTGGCCTTGCTGCCTGTTGGGTGCCTCCAAAATCCAAGTGCCTGGTTGAGTATCCAATCCCTAGAACTATCATGGTTACATTTACATGGATGGCATGGCCCCTTGGGAGACCATTTTCAAAAAAACAAAAAGGGGGCGAACTCCACTCCACTTCTCCACTTCCATGTTAGTTCGGAGTGTACTCGACCATTCCCTTGCCGCTCCTGACCCGTCCTTTTGCCACGTTCCAAGCCGTCTCTTTGCCCGAAACCAGCGCTTTCCGTCTCTCACGCGCGTTGGCCCAAGTGAAAACGGGAGTCCCAGGTACCCAAGGAAAAGCAAAACATGTCATGTTGGACTGTTGATGAACAACAAAAATGTCTCTAGACTGGCTTTACATCTCCACATAAAAGGTTCATCAAGCGTCAACATATACTGGGTTTTCAAGAAAACCCACAGCTGATTTGGTGCCTTCTCCCAACTGGGGAGTGGAAGTCGAGACCGGCAAAAATGACGCCGAGTCTTAGGATGTCTTACGCCAAAAGTTACGGTCCGGTCAGCAGAAGTGGAAAATGACATGGTGCACTCCTTGATAAGAGTTCGATGCTTGCAATGATCCAAGTTAAACAGAATTCGACAAATGCGTGGTGCCCAAAGGGATCTACTGTGACTGTGAGGGCACATGGAGGACGCAGGATGAGTCATGCAAAATCAGCGGACACGTCCCAAACTACACGACTTGGATTTGGATGCAGCAAATCTTCAGTGATGCAACAAAAACTGAAGAGATCAGGTACCTGGGAGCCTACAAAGTCCTGTGGGTTCGGCTTCTCTCGAAATCGCAGCTGCTCGAAACGGTGCTGAAAAATGCTGAAAGTGCTTTTGAGATACTCATGCAAATCACTCTTTATTTAGTCTCTGTTCGATGCTAGATTCAGAGCCCAATGGAACCTCGGCCACATTAAACCTCACTCATGATCACCATCTAGAGTCGTGGATCGAGTCATATTTATGATAGAGTAGGAGACCTGATTCCAACACTGATCCCATCAACTGCCACCAAAGACTTGTTTCCTCCGCTCAAAAGGACCAGAGAGGACCCGCGAAAACCCCGCGAAAACCCACGTTCCCAGCGAGCAGTCCGTTAAGTCTACATATAAGCAACAAACAAATGGCCCGAAACCCTGGTAAGTTGACCTCCTTAGTAGCTTGGTCAGCCAGGGTCCCCCTGTTTTTGACCCACAGCCAAATAGGAACAGGATGAAGCCATGCACTGCCATGCGCACCTCTCGGTACTCCCGGCCATACAACGTTGCCTGTGTGGTTGGCCAAACCCACAGCCCTACGGTTTTTTCTGAAAGGCACACCTTTTCGCGCGAAAGGCCCAGCGGCCCAGCCCCTCAGGAGCACCGGGCGTTTTGGAATCGTCGCCCGCGGTGCTCTCTCTTTGGAGGAGCCGAACCGCCGGGTTTGCGCTATGATGCGCGTGGCTGCGTAGCGTTCTTGGCATCCACGAGACGCGGCGAGGATGAGCCATGAAAGGTATGATTTGAGCTACAGCCAGTTTAATCTGGTAGAAAAAGTCATGCCCATCCTGCATTGTAGACGATCTCCACTCAACCATAGCTGTGCCTCGGTTTTCATTTGTTTGAAGGTTGTTCCACAAGACATCTTGCCGAACGTCAGGAGACCAAGCTCGTCCGCTCCAGCTCGGGTCGCCGAAACCGAACGCCCGGTGCAGCTCAAGAAGTGAAATGTTCTCAGGGGTTCCCGGCACAAATTGGATCAAGTTGGGGAATCACCAAGCACTTTGCCTGTCGGAAGGTACAAATCTTGAGATCTGACTGACAGTCTGACACAAATGTCAAATGTCTGATGATATACAAGGCTGTGTCAGACCTGCACTAGTTACTATAGTTGCTTTTGTTTTTGAGCCACTTCCCGAGTCGTTAAACCTCGAAGCTCTCTGATCGTGCGTAGTCCGCCAAATCCTTGACGCTCTCTCCTCGCAGTGGCTCGAGGGGCAGCATATGGTGGGTCGGCGGGTCGAATACCATGTCTGGGGGCATCGATTCTGGTCATGTTCCGTTGGAACCCCAGCCGGGTGCCATGACCCACTGCCAAATCCTGTGCCATGACCAGGTTTAGGATGGACTGTCCACGTATCGTATTGAACAGGATTCACTCTTAACCCTACTACGGGTCAAAGGCCTCTCTTTATTGAGGTTGCTCGTACAAAAAACACTACTCTCAGTGAGGTTTTCAGGACCCGGTTTGGACCGGGGTCAAACTGTTTCACGCCTAATTAAAGGGATTAAAGGGTGGACCAGTGAGAGTGGGCGCCATTGATTGGTCAAGACCATCTTCCCAGTCGGCTTCACTGAAGCCTTGGATTCAGCCGGAGGAAAGCGCGGCCGGCCGTTCGGCTGTCCACCTGTTGGACCAGCCGAACGTGGGGTGTCCACCTGTTGGCCCCAAGTTGGGGACAAAGGATGACAAAGGATGACCAAAGGTTATTCACTGACTGAGTAGGTGCAGGATCCTTAGGATGAAAGAGGATCCTTCTCTCCGGAAAGCATGGATTTCTGCGGACTCTGTGACCTCGCGTGGAATCATCAACGCATCGATCTGATCTGACGGTTCGAACTTTTTGAGACAACCCCATGCATGCTTGGCGGTTTCAACTCCCCTAATTATATATCATAGAGATTCATCATCCCGGTAAAGGTCAGACGAGAAAGGTTGAAACCGCCCAAATGCATTGCTGCATGACCCTGAAAAAGTAACCATGGCATCCACCGCAACCAGCGCTTGCACTGGTCCGTCGCAGGACAAAAAGTTAAAAATGACACGCAACATGAGAGCCCAACCATGACCCCATGTGGTAGTAGGAGCGGATGGTGACTCTGGTGGGGAAAAGTGGCTATGGGTCATGGCACCAGGATACTTGGTTGACCTACCAACGATACTTGCGGACTCTGTCTGAGGTGCTTCCCACGACCCTTCGGTATCACCGGAACTCTGGGAGTTGAGTATGTAATCCAAACAATCTGTACACCATGGGAACAACGTAACAATGTAAATGATCCACATGAATCAAGTGACTACCTGAGAAGTTAAGGCCACGTGAAACCAAATTTCCGCAGCAAGAGCAAGTAAGTTGTTATTAATGAATTGTCCAGGGATTACGTGCAACATGCATGTGCCAATGCCGGAAGGAGCCTAATTTGGTGCTGCAGGGGGTGGAACCAAATCGTCAAGACACTTGCCCTTATTCTACGCATCTCAAAGTTTCTTGCGAAAATGGTAACATTGGGAGTAGTCCAAATTTGCAACGGGCTCAAATGTAAATTTTACAAAATTGCATGGGTACCATCCCCAGAGGAAGGTCAAGCTTCCATTAGACCTGGTGACCAGGGCTCCAGGTTGAACGACCAATCCCCCAAATGAGTCCAAATGGAAGTTCAGGCTTCGCAGGGACATCTCGCTGCTGCGCTGCTGCCCTCCCTTTTCGCGATCCGATGCGGATTCGGTGTATAATGCGGTCCTGTCATGCAACGGTCACGTGGTAGGTCAGGGACCAGTTCTTGAAAACGAAGTCCGACCTGGCCAATTTCGTGGTGGAACTGGAGACCGCTCTGGAACCCGAGATGGGGACACGGAAAACGTCGTTGGAACGTTTGGAGCTTGTTTGGAGCGTTTGGGACAGCTGGGAAAAGGTTGTAAATGATCAAACCCAATTGAGGGGGGTCGAAGATCATGATGCAGGGGCGTGGAAGCGGATGTTTCTCCGTTCCAAAATGGTACCTCCAAAACGGTACCAAAACCTCCAATTCTCGGCCCCAGAGGCATCTTCTGCAAGTGATGGAGGAGATATTCTACAAGTACCAACAAGGTCGTTAGTTCTTGGGCTTTGGTTTGCCCTACTACTGCTTCGCTCAAGCATATGATAAAATATGTAGACTTCCTCCCCTCCTGATGGAGGGAGATCCTTTTGACCAGGGAATTACGTCCGGACCCTCAAAGCCATTCTTCGCCATCACCTCTTCGCCATTCTTCGCCCGAACTTCTCTATTGGATGAAGCCCAGGAGACGGAAAAGGAAGTCCAAGCACACCGACGCCACCCTCTGACCGGTACGCGCAAGCGCCGCTACTAGCGCGCCGCGCGGGGGCCGTGAAGACCGGGAGCGGTCTTCAGACCGGGCCTCCTGTTGTGACTCTAACAGCTTCACAGCCTTTCTCAACATCCTTAGGCCATCGAGACGGGTGCGAAAGGGTGCGAGACGGACGCCCAAGCACGCCACGCCATTTCGCACGGGCAATGGAAGCGTTGGATGAAGTTCATCGGTTTGCCGAGTGATCTGAACCGAAGCTGAGAGCTGGAGGATCGTGGACGGTGTGACGCAACTCTTGTGCTGTCATACATGGAGGGACTAATTAGGGTGGTCTGTGTACAAGACATCCTCATTGGTGGAGAATATTGGAGAATACCGTCCGTCAATGGTGTCTTCAGGGCAACATTACCTGATTTTGTGCAAGGCTTTCTGTGGACAGTCGTCACTACTTAAACTAGAGCCCCTGTTGGAGATTGCCCGAATTGTCCAGGCTTGCCAGGTCGGGTCCAAAACTTCTTTAGTTAACCACCAATCTCACTTATTTCCATGCGAACAATTCATAATCTTGACACGGGATAAACAAAAAAGCACTTCGCAGTGTTCCATCAGAAATGGACATCTGATGAAGCTCATCAACCCATCATGCAGATGGCAAACCCGCAAGAGAAGGACGCAACAAAGGCCTCTCCAGTGTAGCCCCGTGTCACGCAATCTCGGGACTCTCCAGTCGATCGCACCGCCAGAACGTTGAATCATTGATCAAAACAAACGGTGTTCCTTTCTAAATAATATATATATATATAAATACGATCATTCAAGGGAAATTGACTTGACCGCATGACAGTGAATTGATTCTCTTGTAGTTTGCCTCACACCTGAAGCAAGCCTGAAACAAGTACTTCACAATGGTTGTGTCCCCCAACTTTCCGCCAACAACCAGCGTCTTATGTCAAGAATATTAACAGACTCAGAACAAGCACGTCTGGAAAAAAAATGCATAGTGGTCCCCACAGGGATCGAGGTAGAAGATCAGCAGAAGCATACAGAAACAGCGCTGTCCAAAAAAATGATCAAAGGGAGGAACATGTTTATATATCTATCTATAATTATATACAGTATCTATACAGTATCCGTTTTAAGGATCACTCAATGGCTCTTCCCCCACCCCCATGTCTAATTAGTGTAGTGTACAACGAGCAAGGATGTCCACCTTGACCTTCACACAGTGGCACCAAAAAAAGAAGGAACCGACTCCGAAACACCTGCCCGCCCCATCCATTTTCCAATCCCCCCTCCCCCGGTCTCCGAAGAGGTACCGACTCGCGTCGGTTAGCTGGACTCGCTCCGAGAAGCAGCTCGTTCTCGAAGATCAAGGTCGTGGCCTTCCGTGCGCGCCGCCGGGGGCTCTCCAGCGATCGGGAGCTGGGCGGCTTCTCCTGGAACGGCGGCTGCATCAAGCGGTTTTGAGCGGAAAAGCAGGTACAGTAACAGTTAGAGGTCCAATGGTGGTTGCAACATGGACTATACCCATATGGGTACCCATAGACCAGTCAATTAGAGTCAAAAGGGTTCCAAACATGATCCTCAAAACATTGGGCTTATCTTGTTTGGTTTGTACTTTTACATGTCGCTGCCCCCCTCCCTCTTCGGAGAATCGCGGCAATCGCGGAGTCTTAGGGGTCGGAAGAAGCTGGCCCCTCTCATCAGTTTGCTTCGTCCAAGCCTGACCAGCGGGACAATTGGAGTTGACCTATAGCCCTACAGCACTATATTGGACTGTTTTTCATGAATAAAGGTCCTCCCCTCAAACATGGAGTTTCAGGCAAACCTCATTCAGATGGGATCATATGGGAGGGCTACTGAGAGGGGTGATTTTCATCAACAGAGTCTCCACTTGGAGATTGACACCAAACCCACCCAAAGTTCCATTTTTGCGGGTGACGACGAAGAACCGCCCAGACGTGGCACCCCCGGCTGGGGCGCCCATGTGGCACGCCCGTGGGCACCAGTTCTTTTGGAACTGGTCACAGCATCCTCTTCTTTTTGTTCACATGCTTCGGGCCGATTCGGGCGAATCTCTCTGCGCCAGGTTATGGTTCAAGGGTTGATGACCGACACGGTCTTTTTCGCTCGTTCCGGCTCCCTGTTCCACGGGCACGGCTCGGCGTGTCACGGCTCGCCATCGCTCCCGAGTGCCGGCGAGGGGTTGTAAGCAAGTCTATCTGGTTTGGGCATGCAAGCCTGCAGGGCAAGCCGCTTGCTTTGACCTTCGCTTAAGGAGGTTTGGTTTCTCGTATCAGATAGGTGTGTCAGCCTTGGCAGTTCTGTCATATCACTCGATCAGGTCAGGTCTTCCAAAACTGGTCTACATGATGACGAAAACTGAGCCGGTGCACGAACCTCCACAAACACTTCATCCCAAAAGGTCGTAGCTCACCAGCGGAATCTCCTCAGAAGCCGCAGGGGAACTCTCTGATGTTGCATGCTTCTCAGCCAGATCCTTGGCCAAAAGTTGCAACTGCTCTGCCTCACAGCGGCGAACTGTTCGCGCTCTTGGGGATGGGAGTTGCCGGGCTTCTCACTTTGTCATATCCCAAAGACTCCCACTCCATGTACGGAATGCTTACCTACATTGAGCCTTAAAGCATCTCAAGAACCATCCAATATTAGTGGGATATATTCAAGCCCCGGACCATCCCCTACCATACACATACCAAAACCCACGTGGTATTTTGCACACTCCGCAGTTCAGCAAAACGTAGTTGAAGGAAAGTTCAGCGCATTCCCCTCTTGATGACTTTTGGGACCCGAATCCCTACAAAAATAGTTATATATATATATGATATTATATGGATCCACATAGCCTCTAAGGTGATTGGAGTCAGTGTAGGCTTGGAGGGTCCAGTTGCACCTCGGTGAGTTGGAGGAGATCCCTCAAATTCACCACAGGAGAGTTCCACCTGCAGGCCGTGGTCTAGGACCTAGGAGCAACGTTTGATGATTGGTGGAAGAAACCCGGTGATCTTCATGTCACGCTACTGGATCACTTGGGTATTGTCGAGTCGTGTACAATCTGTTGAAAACACCGGCCGTCGGCACCGGCCGTGTCGAAGTCGTGGGACAAAACTGTATTCTGACTCTCTGATTGTCAATTGAAAAATCTCTGATTGTCGTGGGATCAAGTCAATCCCCCACTGTAAAAGAATGTAAAAGGTATAAAGGTTAGCCAAGTAAGCACGAAATACTGACCAGATTTGACAACCAAAGGTTGACCATAATCTAAGGCCCTAAGGCCGCCCGCCTTTTTCTCGGTCGCAGGGCTCAACGTAAAGAGCTCCTGTGCGCTTCGATCTACCACCTGAACACGAGAGCACACGGAAGAACGACCTGAAGTAGAAAAAAATGAACAAGGAGCCAAGTAATGCTAAGCATGGTAGCATCATGTCATCCAGCTTCTATATATGCTTGCAAATAGGTAGGAACCCCAGGAACCCTGCTTCTCTTAGAAGTTTGTCTTTCTTCAACCCAAACGCAGGGCCAGAGCCATCCCTCCAAACGCCAAAGTTTGCTGGATTGGAACGTTCACCGGAAACCCTGGAGTGAAGTACATGGCAAAACCTGACACATTTCTCGATCAAACCACTTGGGTTCGTTGACACAGTTCATTGACACGTCCATGTCCCAGTTCTGTCAATTTCAGTCACACAACCAACACACACACACACTCTGACACTTGTATTCAGTGACTCAGTTACCACGATGGGAA